GCTTACCATAAGGTTGATCTGTACTTTTGTTCTGCTACTGTAACAATAGAACAGAAGAGTCTATCTCGTGGTCTTTCAATCTAAAAGAGAGAGCTCATTTGATGTGGGCTTTATAAAGTGAAACACAGACGATCCAAAAGCTGGTTCTGCTGAAGTACAACATCCCAGAAACTGACATGGTACTGAGACTCCCAAGTGCCATCTCACTCAAACAATAGATGAAAACCTCCCACGTTGGAGCAATCACCAGCTCACTTAGGGCACCCTTCCCACATTAATTCAACATGTGTACTGTAGCCTTTAGTTTAAAATACCAAATCTGGCTCATCAAGAGCTATGGTATTTTAACTCAATGCTGAGAGCAAATGCCAGCAATACCATTCTATGGCCAGAAGCCAAAGACTCTCACAGCTGGTTCTGCATATCCAAGGGGACTTTGAACTCTTGTTTCTTGAACAGCTGCCCCGCAATAACACATGGCACACTTTTGCTGGAAATAAGGAGAATTTCAAAGGCAGTTTGTGATGAGACAAACAGTCTCAAAAATCCCACTGGGCACACACAAACATTTGGATGTCCCTAAAGTATCTCTGGATCATAGCCCAAGATTCTACACTGCAGGAGTGCCTTTCTACAGCCATGATGCTCAGAGAATGATTCTAGTATGTTACAGACCAAGAGATGAGGGGAATTTTTCTTCTGTCAAGGGGAGCAATCCCTCAAGGGTCATCTGTTAGGGTTGTAGTGTGGTGGTGGTGGTGATGGTCAGATCAGTGCCACTCACCACTTCTTCACATTCTTTTAGGAAGCAGAGAACTAGGCTACTAGTCATGGTCATGTGAAACATACTCCAGTGAATTTTGCTTCATCACTTCTTTGTACTCAAAACAGAACAAAACCATGAAACCTCCCCTGAATATTCAAATGTTGTTTTGTTAGTACAGCCAATGTGTGTGTGCATGTGTGTATGAAAATTACAAAAGGAAAATAAAGAGCAGCCCCTCAATTATGTCCATGCAGTTAACTCTCGTCTTTGTGGTTTCAGTGATCTATCCCTGCTCCAATAGCCCCCTTTTCTCTCAGGCTGGCATAAAACTACAACAGGCTGATGGAAAAGCAATTCAGCCCAGGTATAGCATGCTGGATTTTTGTGGTTGACATGGAGAAGGTAAAGGTGCCTTCTGCAGGTTAAGCATAGAAACAATGAGCTGACAGCAAAAGATACTATAAACTGTGTGAAATTAAGACAAGGCTTCCTCACAGATGTTCCGGTAAGTGTTTCCACAGCAAAGAGATGGCCATTTTCTTTCTCTATGAAAGTGCAGATTGTTACTGGTACATCCCCTTGCTTTGTACATGACATATTCACAGAAGAAATCTCCATGAGGCAAGAAGTTATGTTGACTGTTTCATGCAAATACTTTAACCAGGATGCATAATACTTGGGAAGCTAATTTGTCTGTGAATGTGTGAATCAGCCTAAAACTAAAATCCTAAAACACACTTTCATGGGAGTGTGCCCCACTGAATTACACAGGGATTATTTCTGAATAGACATTGTAAGACAGCTCTGTGTGCTTTTAGTGTATGTACTGAAGAACAGAGACATTTACCGTTTCATAAACAGGTTGAGGGAGTTTTTCTTTCCTGCACCATTCCAAAAGACACATTTTAGGTGTAATCTGTGGGGGATATTCTCGCCTGAGGAGAAAAACAAAAATGAATGATGATTATAAAAAACTTTGTTGTAGGTGTGGTGCCTTCAAATCACTTCTGACTTATGGCAACCCTAAGGCAGACCTATCACAGGGTTTTCTTGGCATAATTTGCTCAGACAAGGTTTGCTCTTGCCTTCCTCTGAGGCTGAGAGAGTGGGACTTGCCCAAGATCATCCAGTGGGTTTTCATGGTTAAGTAAGGAGTCAAATCCTGGCCTCTCAATGTAAGAATGTCAAAGTGTTTAGCAAAATATACTTACGATCAAATGGAAAGAATTGCCTCCTACCCCCCATGAACAGAAGGCATTTGCTAGACCTCTACCAAAAGAAATAACAAAAGGAATTTCTTTTGCTTACTTATCAAATCTAACTGCCACTTTTATCACATCTGTGTCTTCTATTTGGTCATCCACATCTTGGTCCATGGTTTCTAGCGAACTATTTTTGCCTTCCAGAAGAGCTGTTGCTTCCTCATAGAAATGGCACATGTCAAAGACTTCACTAAATAATAATAATAATAATAATAATAATAATAATAATTCAAAGTTACAAAACATTCAAGTTAATGTTAGCAACATCCTCTCTAATTGAAGACATGAAAATATAGAAGAAAACAGTGGTTTTAAAGGCAATTTTAAAGAATACATAATGAGCTAATGCTAACATCTGTCACTGGGACAGCAGAACTATCTGCCTCCCTTGTTACTTTCTAAGAGACAGCCAGGATAGTCCCCACCACACAATGTGCTGTACAGCTGTCTAACTAAGTAGGGGTGGGTGAGAATGGTATCTGTTATGCTAAAAGGACAGAAAATTGCTGCTGAGGAGACATGGCTTCTGAAAACTCTGTTTGGCTTCTCTTCTACTGGAACTACATATTTGGCAGATCACCCAGACCTCTAATGAACAGCTGCAAAGTAGAGGAATATTGAGATGATCCACCTCAGAAAAGAAATAGTGCCACTTTTTCATGCAACCCACAATCCCAGTCCTGCCCATCACAGTAAACATGTGGCTGGAAGCTGGCTAGAGACAAGAAAATATTCCAAAAAAGTATAAATTCCAAATAGCAAACCTTGATTTTTCCATTTTATTTAAGGGACATCATTTTATTATGCCATTGTATTTAATGGGACTTGAGCATCCACGGATTTTGTTATTCATGGGGGGTCCTGGAACCCAACCCCAGCGAATACCAAGGGCCCACTGTACTCTAAATGAAATGAATATAGTCAGCCGTTAGTATCCACGGTGGTTCTGTTCCGGACCGCCTCCCCACTGGACGGGTGCCAAAACCGCGGGACCTCAAGTCCCATTCGTTTTAATGGCGGAGTGGCATGGCTGCGTGCATGTGCCACCATTGGGGGAAATGGGGCAGCACCATCCACAGATGCTCAAATCTGCGGATAGAAACTCAGCAGTTGGGTTGAGCGGACTGTATGTAAACTGAAGGCTTTCACAGCCGGCATCCATAAGTTTTTGTGGGGTTTTCGAGCTATGAGGCTGTGTTCTAAAAGAATGTATTTCTGATGTTTCGCCTGCATCTGTGGCTGGCATCTTCAGAGAAATGAAAAACCTACAAAAAACTAGGACTGTGTGTAGTTTTGACCTCAAAAGACCTATTGAGATGGTAACACTGTATTGGATGTAATACATGAGCTGACCACAGGGCAGCAGCCAAAACCACTTCTAGACTCAGAATAGTCAGGCATGCTTATATGAAAGGTTGAGACTGAACAGTCTTTTAATTAGCTGGTCAATTAAGATGGTATTGAGGGATTTTAATGAGAACCTGCAATGAATCCCTCAATACCATCTTAACTGACAACATCTCAGACAGAATGTAGGCCAGTAACTCTAACATCATCACCATTTTTCCTATATGATTTTTAACATCTTTGTCTGATGAAGAAGCCAGTGAACCTTCAAAAGCTTGCATGATGTATTAACAAGATCAGCTCATTATGACTAAGCAAATACCATTGATTAAAATGGCAATTAAATATAAATCACCAAGGTCACACTGCTATATCCCCTTACCCTGGAATCAGTGAACTTACTTCTAAGTATATAGACAGGATTGTGCTTTTGTGCCAGATCCAAACCACACACCCCCTTGGAACATAAGTATGTTTTTTTAATAAAAGAAAAAGGCAACTAAACACACAGTTCTCAAGATGTAGAGAGCTCTTGTAGCACCTTTGAGACTAAGGGCCTAAGCAGACTGCCAGAAATAGTGCACATTAAATTGAGGCACTGCCCTGGCTCAGTGCTAGGGAATCATGGGAACTGTAATTTATTGTGGCACTAGAGCTCTCTCACAAAGAAGGCTCAATGTCCCAGAAAAAAATACAGTTCCCATGATTCCCTAGCACTGAGCCAGGGCAGTGCCTCAATTTAATGTGCACTATTTCTGGCAGTCTGCTTAGGCCTTAAGTAAACAAAAGAAGTTGGCAACATGAGCTTTCATAGAACTAAGTCTACTTCCTCAGATGCATTTGTTCTCAAAAGAAATTCAATCTTCATACTTCTACATTTGGATCTTCATCATGTTTAAAAAGGTCACTTTGGTAATTTAATATAATGAACAGAGCATTCCACATTATTGAACTGTCTAATATGAAGAAAAATCTTCTTTGCTAAAAGTTTAACTTGTAGTTCACCAAACAAACTTTACCACATAACACACATATTCAAATATATGCCTTCCCTTTCCTGACTTTCATAAAACTTTAACTGAAGTTCTAGCATGTTTATATTTATTGAATATCTAAATTTAAATAAGAAAACAAAATGTCTTTGACCTTTTCTCTGGCACATTACAGTGATTTTTTTCAAGGGACACACAAGACTCTTACCAGATTTCCTGCATGGATTGTGCTGCATGTAGCTTCCTTCCTTGTGCATTTTCTAACTGTTCCCTTAACATCTGGCACAAACAGTACTTTGTGTTGGTGTAGTGGTTATCATATCTCACTGCCTGATTAAAAATGAGACAAAAAAAACACACAATAATTTAAGGAAGTGAAAAGGTGGCAAATAATAAAGCAGCTATCATCAAAGTGACTTATTCCCAGATTTCACTTTCAACCAATGTAATCTAATTTTGCTTCTTTAAATTCAGAGACTGACATCTGTGGACTGCCTAATAATACGCAGTCTTTGTTACCCAATAATAAGAGGACCAACTGAACCTAAATAGAGAGATGGACAAACAGCTTTTGAAGTTCAAAAACACTCAGCTTTATTTTATGAAACATTCGCTTATAATGCTCTCAGCAGAGACCCAATGTGGTGCAGTGGTTTGAGCTCTGGACTACAACTCTGGAGACCAGGGTTCGAATCCCTGCTTGGCCATGGAAACTCACTGGGTGACCTTGCCTTTACCTTCCTCAGTCTCAGAGGAAGGTAAAGGCAAAACCCTCTGAACAAATCTTGCCAAGCAAACCCCACGAGGTTCACTTTAGGGTTGCCATGAGTTGAAAACGACAACACTCTCAGCTGTAGACCACTATTTCCACAGTCAGTACTAACAAAGCTGTTTTTTCCTTCTTTCTTTACACAGGATATGGGTGGCTCAAATGACTGTGTAGGAAACAGGAGCCTTTTTGTCCCAAGGAAGATTAGACTCCTTTGATGGGATTTCATGGGGGCCACATGTCAGAAATCCGCCAGGTTGAGCCAAAGTGGGTGCATACACAGGTCTATGAGCTTAATAAACTACTGATTGATTGAATGAAAGTCGGTGTGGCCACCCCATCTTTTTCTCCTGCCACACTTTTTCTTTCTGTTCCTGCCACACTTGCCAGAGGTCTAAACAGATAACTTACAAAGTTTTAGAAATAAGGTCAAGGCTCAGATGTTGCTCACTCTTACGAAAGATACCCAAAGTTTGCTTCTTTAAATATGTAGCAACAAGAGAATCAAACACTATTAGATTTATGTCGGGGATAAGCATAATGATGCTCATGTGCCACATGTGGCCCTTGAAGCCCTCATCAGTCTGCCAAAACCACCAAACTCCCTCCAAAATAAATTCTGGGGAAAAATCAGCACTAGTTTTGGGCAATTTTTGCCCCCAAGTCATAAAGAGATCCCTAAACGCCTGAAAATTCATGAAAATAACTCCCTTTCAACCCCATACATAGAGATATATTAAAAAACAAGATTCAAAAACCTCAGTCCATACATATTTAATATATTCCTGCATGACGTCCTTCAAGAGACATGGACCTTCTTTCCTGAAAATAGAGGGGTTCCACATTGCAGCACGAGCAATCATCACCGACGATGCGTCTGTTGCTTTCCTGAAGGCCTCTATATCAGAATATTCTTTAATGTAGTCATAAGATCCTCCACTAAAATAAAAATAGCATTGTTCTCATCAGCACTGATAAAACAAAACAGTAGAAGCTGTACTGGTTTACTCCTTGCCTTTCCACAAGACTAAGAAAACCTGAATTGTACTAAAGAGAGGATGCAAAGGCAATGAATAAGAGATCATCTTTCAACTTCCAATTATTTGGATTGTTTGGGCACAGTAGGTTATTTTAGTTTTCAGTACTGGGTACACTCAGTTCTGGATGATGCAGTGATGACATTTTTCCTACACAAACTCCTCAGATGTTTGTGTCTACTTTGTTTTTCTTTGACTTACTCTCCATTACCAGATACAGATGAAAGAAGCTATCTCGTCCCACTTACTTGGCTATTACTGGAATAGAGACTGCTTCAGAGATAGCTTTGATCAAATCACAGTGGACAGGATGTTGAGGCCTCTCTTCTTTCTTCCTTTGCATGAGAGAGGACAAGAGTAAATAAACAGATCAAAGATTTCCACACAGAGAATTCATCTTAGCAGACAAAATGGCATGCTAGCCAGGATCATCAAATGCCAAACACCATGTAGACTAGGTTGAGGAAAATGTAGCCCATGGACTAGCCTTGGTCCCCAAAATGTTTTTTCATTCACCCCTCCCCCATGTATTAAAATGTATTATTAAAAATTACTCCCATGTCACAGGGAACATGGCAAGCAAATTTGTCATACTCCCCCATGCCAGAATGCACAGTCCTCCAAAATGCCCTTGGGAGACAATGAAGCTCCCCAGATCTTGGCACTTGCTTAACCCTAATACAGACTAGTGGCTAGCTTACCTTCCATGAACTGCAATAGCAGCAACTCCAGTACGTTCTATCTTCTTGACCAAACTGATTGTTTCTTCTTTCTAAAAAGGAAAGACAAAATGGGTAAGTTTAAAACTTTTGTTGAATGCACATAGCCCTTGCTCTATGGTGATCTAGCCCTATGCACAATGGGAGTTGGGGACTGGAAAAGAGGGTCAAACTCAATTAGCATCCACATCTGAAGTATCATAGTTGAATAGACACACATGTGTGTAGTCTGCAACCATGAAATCACTGCTCTCTTGCAGAACAGACCTATAAATGGTGAGCTTTACATACACACACACCATACAATGGCTTCAATCCAACATCCCTTCAGCATAACATAAATGTCCACATGTAGACCTATGCTCCATTGAGTCATATACCCTCTTCCTGAGCTACTGATAAGCCCCTTACACTGCCCTATATGGCTATTACATGCTTCACAGCAAGGAGGCAAGGTCAGAGGAAAGTCTGGATACATCCCCAGAGCAAAGTGATTACATCCAGTGGATCTCAGCACTGATGTCATCATTTTAAGTCTGGCCATGGGGGATATAGCTAGATGATACTCTGAGCTTGCCTGCTTCATGTGAAGCACAGAATGGCAGTGGGGGCTTATCTGCAGTTTGTGGGGAAGCTTTGGGTGCTGCACAGGATAGAAGGGAATACAAACCCTATAGCACCTGAAAAAGGATATTCACATGAGTAAGGGAAAATTGAGAGCCAGTGTGGTGTAGTGGTTTGAGTGTTGGACTTCTGATACTGGAGACAAGGGTTCAAATCCCAGGTTGGCATGAAACTCAGCCTCAGAAGATGGCCATGGCAAACCTCCTCTGAAGAAACCTGCCTAGAAAACCCAGGGTCACCCTAGGGTTCTCAAGTCAAAAATGACTTGGCAGCACACAGCAACAACAAGAAGAGAAAGTTACACATGCAGATGGTGCTAACAGAATTCTGGCCCACATGTTGACATCAGGGAAGCTAGACCAGTGAAGACTCAATGCCTTCACTCACATAGGTTTTACACCAGTTCAAGCTATGTCAGTCTTGTCTGGTGTCCCCAATCAACTCTAAAAGAGCAATCCTACACATTAACTCATAAATTTAAGCTTGTTTTTCATTGGTCTTGCTCATGGGTAAGTATGTACAGAATAGGAGCCAAATCTCACACACAAGTAGAATTTGCTGTCCTGAAAAGCATACAACATTCCAGAAGCAATACATAGCAGAAAACATTGTCTTAATACACATTTCATTAGGTCACATTCATGCAGCAGATTTCCACTATCTTCTTGGATTTGCTCTGCACAAGATAGTTTTTCCTTTAGGATCACACTTTTGCTAGTGGCAAGTCAATCATACTCCTGTTGTTGTTGTTTTTGTTGTTGTGTGCCTTCAAGTAGTTTCTGACTTATGGTTACCATAAGGTGAACCTATCATGGGATTTCTTAGCAAGATTTGTTCAGGGGGTTGCCTTTGCCTTCCTCTAAGGCTGAGAGAGTTTCAGAATTCAAAAAGCTAACAATAGTTATTTTATTTCATTTTTTAAAAGTCATTATTGAATTGCATTACTCTAGGCAGGCAAGGTGATAGTACGCATTGGCTTGTTTCTACTCACATGCAACAGCAGTCAGCAATTAGTGTTTACTAGCCAAACTACTGTGCACATTTTTTCCAAGATCAGATATTTCAAATACCACCATATGTTTGTACCGTTGGCAGGATTCGTATTTTGCAGGTCACTGGCTTACAAATTCCTTTGACAAGAGTAGTTAGAATCTAAAGAAAGAAAGACAAAAAGACTTTTTCAACATAACGAATGAGGCAATACAGTCTAGAAATATTTGACAAGTCTTGCACAGCCCTCCTTGTCAGTTAAGAAGAGTGTTGCTTTTTCTACTTTTCAATTATTTTCTCAGTGAGAAATAAGAAGTTACTAACCCACTAAAAGGTTTTTATGTCCTCATCTTTTGAATGATTCACTATTGATTCAGACTGCTGGCCAATCATCATCTGAAAGTCTTCAGAAATTAAGATTTCTGACTGTAGTCTGATTCTTTAATTCAAAACAAGCAGAAACTGGGGGGCATCCAATAAAATCCACTGAAGAAAAATGGAGCTATCTCAAGATGCTCAGGAGAGGGTTGTTTTATTAGTTTAAAAAAACCCAATGCATTTTGGCCATGCATACTCTAAAGCTATTTAGAATTGAAGTTCAGAAATTTCTGGACCAGCTACAACTGCTGTTGTAAAGTATGGGAAACAAACTATTTACATGAAATTAAAACATTCATGGATTTTTGATACAATTCAACCAGCAGTTTTCAGGTCTGTCTTCTTTGTATAGATCCTCTGTCCCCCCAAGCAACAAATTCTTTGTCAATAATGTCATAAAACTATAGTAGAACAAAATAAAAACTCAATATAGAGATTACTTACAGATTCTATTTTTTCAGGATCAGACAGCAGTGCCGCTCCCATACCTCCCTAAGAAAATGCACACAAAACACATTCATCATCTGAGCAGCACACAAAGCATCAAAAGTCGCTAGTCTATACACATCCACCAGCATAACAATGGACCAAAGAAAGCATTACTGCATTTCAAATTGTAGAGGAGAATCATCCTTGCTTCTATGGAACAAATACTACTCTTACTGTAATGCAGTCCAGTTCAAAGAGATGTACAGTCATTTGACTCAGACAGCTATTTTGCTTAAGGTAACAGAAGTGCTCCAAAGGTTTCTTGTCTACTTAATGGAAAAGTAAAAACTTGATGATTTACTATGTACTTTATCTTGTTCTCTCTTCTGGAAAGTTCAAATCAGCTTATACAGACCACCCATTGGCCAGAACACACATTTATTCTCAGTCAACCTCAAGATCTGTTTCTCTGATAAGCATCTAGAAAGTAAAACAAAGTCCAAAGCCCTTCAAAGCATATCCTCTTGCCATGCTTTAAAAAAAAATAGTCTCATATGCCATACCATTGAGAAGTTTTGTATTTGGAGGAAGCAAATCCAAAGATGAATTTCAAGTTCTGACAGGAGAACACACCATACAGCTCACTGATCACTAAACATAAAGGTCAAAGGCTCGTCCCAGATTCCCAACCATTTAGTTAAAATTGTAAGCAGCAACTTTGTGTATTATGTACTTGTCTAATGCACATTACCTGACAAGAC